AAAAACTGGAAGATTTGCATTAACAATGGGAAAGTTACTATGGTCCATGTATATCAAGACACCAATTGCATTTAAACTTTCAGCATTTGCAACCTTTTCAGCAAAAGTGATTTTTCCAGCTCTTACAATCACTAAAGATCCATTCACAGGCATATTTAAATCCTCAAAGTCTTATTTAGTGCCAAAATTAGCATAGACCAGTTTACCAGTAACTGTCGCAGCCTTACTATATGCCACGTAACCCTCAGGATTCTCCACTGAGTACGCCTGACTGCCATCACCGCTTGCACTGACTATAGACACCGAGTTTTGAGAACTGCCTTTAACCTGAATCTTAACAAAATGTTCATCACGCCAGACTTTGTTGAGTTTATAGTCATGTAATTTATTTTCAATGAAAAAAGCCAAACTGGTATCTTTTTGAGATCCAGCCTCACGTGGGACGTAAGAATCTTCATTCAGCATCTTGATGGCCTTGGCAAAGTCTATGGCATTCAGTTTTTCTGACAATGCTGATTTGAGGTCTGCCCAGAATATGCGAGGTATTCCAGGGAGTTGCTCTTCTGATTCGAAAGTTTCTGTCTCCTCTGGGCATGAAGGCTGTGTTGCTGCCCGTTTCCCACAATCATCTTGTGGTTCCACACGTTTACAATAGCCCAAGTAGCCAATCATAAATCCTAAGGATAAAAAGTTTCAGAGTTGAACTCAACGAATTTCATTTATATTCCGTTCCTGTAAGAATTGTTCATATTTTCAGTTATCCCTTGAAAATACTGGCATTAATTAAACTGTAAGGCGTCTGAAAGTAAATAATGAATCTCAGTTTTGTCTATTTTAAACCATTCAATCTATTATAGAATAATTTCATTTTAAACAGTTAGCTTTTCAAAGCAAAGGTAACTTTTCTTCCCAGAAGCCTTCTGTGAATCCTCAAGTCCAGCATCTGTGCAACAAATATCCTGTGCAAATTTCTAGTGTAACATTTGCACATTACACTAAAATAATTCTTGTGTTGCTCTTCCCCCACCAGGCTAACCTCAAAGGCAGGTGTAAAATCTTAGGCATCATTGTATTCCTAGTATCTTGCACAATGCACTACATAAATGTTTGCTGAGCTGGCTGAACAAACTTCCCAGAGTTGACGACACGGAATTTTTTAAGTTTTGAATGGCTGTTCTTACCAATCAAGAAAAAGATGATTACAGCAATGATCCCATAGCAGATATATCCATTTAACCTTTTCGGTTTTGTGATACTGGTTTGGTTACCCCTCATGTTACTGTCAACATTTTCTTCTTCATCTGCAGCTAATTTCATCTCCACATGACTGTTATCACCATCTACTTGCCGAGCCAGACTAAACCTGGTATATGACAATGGTTCTCCACCAAACAAGTTAGAGAATGCTGATCTCGCTTGATCCATCATTCTGAACTGCCACACAGAAGAGCAGAGGCGCCTCCCCCGTCCACTGCTTCCCGGCCCGCCACCAGTCTTTACCGACGCCCTCTCTCAAATTTCTTTATTGTGATCTAATATGCACAGCATAACTTGTATGATCTTAATTTTTGTAAGTTTAGCTTTGTTTTAGAGTTGAGTTGATTTACAACGTTGTCTTAGATTCAATTGTAATAGCACAGTAATTTACACATTCTTTTATCTGTCCTTTATGAGATTCTTTCCCCAGATAGGTTATACAGTATATTTAGTGAGTTCCCTATTCTATACATTAGGTATTTGTTGAGCATGTATTATGCATATAGTAGTGTGTATATTTTAAACCCAAGTGCTAATTCCTGCCTGCCTGCCACCTGCCTCCTTTCTTAAGCTTGAGATTGTTTTCTCAGTCTGAGTCTGTGAGTCTCTTTTGATTTTGTAAGTAAAGTCATCTAATTTTTCCATAACTTCCTTACTCTTCTCCACTTTGTCTTCCCACCAACAGTGTAGGAGAGTTTCTTTTTCTTCACAACCACTCGAACATTTCTTATTTGTAGATGTTTTAATTAGGGAAATTCTGATTGTTGTGAAATCTCAGTTTGATTTTGATTTGCATTTCCTTAAAAATCATCAGTGTTTAGCATCTTTTCTGGTGCTTCCTGCCCACCTGAAGGTCCTCTCCGGAGAAGGTCTATGTAGGTCTTCTGTCTGCTTTTTTATTGGGTTGCTAGTGTTTTGATATTAAGGTGAGGGGGCTTTTTGTATATTTTGGAGATCAGTGTTTTGTGGATCACATTGTTTACAATTATTTTCTCCCATTCTCTGTTATTTTACTTATTTTCTTTTTGTTGTGCAAAAACCCATTAATTTGATTAGGTCCAATGTGTTTATTTTTCTATTGCCTTGGGAGCCTGATATAAGAAAACAGAGGGAGAACTTCTGACAGAGTATGTTTCCCTTCATTTTTCGCTATGAGTTTGTGGTGTGATGTCTCCTATTTAAGCCCGCTAGCCATCTTCAGTTCCTCTTTTTGGTAGGTGTGTGAGTGGATTCTAATTTCAGTGATATTTGTGACTGTCCAACTTCCTCATCCCCGGTTGCCGTGGAGACTTTTCCCCATTGTATATTCTTATTCCTCTGTCAAAGATTAATTGACCACAGAGGCGTGGGTTTGTGCCTGGGGTCCCTGCTCTGTTCCCTTGTCCCACAGGCCTGATTCTGTGCCAGGACCTCCTTGTTTTGATACTGCAGCTCTGCAGGGCTGTGTGGAGTCTGGGAGGGTTCTGCCTCCTGCTTTGTTCTTGGTCCTCAGGATTGCCTTGGCAATTCTGTGTCAGGAGTGATTCCAAGTAAATTTTAGGAACAGTGGTTCTAGTTTTGTGAAAATGTCACAGGGAACTTATTAGTGATTGCATTAAATCTATAGTTTTGATCAGTATGGCCATTTTTTTTCATTTATTTTTGTTAGTTGGAGGCTAATTACTTCACAACATTGGAGTGGGTTTTGTCATACATTGACATGAATCAGCCATGGAGTTACATGTATTCCCCATCCCGATCCCCCCTCCCACCTCCCTCTCCACCCGATTC